GAAAAAGCTTTACAACACTTAAAAGAGATAAGAATCGACAGCCAGCGTAGCAATAAGATGTTGCTTTTGGAAGTGCAGAATTTCCTAACCTGACAATCAGTGCGGATTCTGGAAACGTGACAAAAAACAACTGTCCCTTTGCAAGGAAACGAGAGCTTAGGTGTTGACTATGGATTATAAAGAAGCATGGGTGTTTTGTAGAGTAGTTTACTAAAGCCAAGACTATTTAGAGCCAAATTAGGTTCTTGCACATAAAAATTCCCTGGAATTCAGGGTGAGTTCATACATGATTCTCGCCCAGGCATTCTGGGGCTGACAGACTACACCCAACTGCCTTTCGCAATTCTCCCTAGAATACAGAAGATCCATCCAGGCTGACTCAGAGATCCAGGTGAGAAGACTTTTAAATAAAACAAATACAATGGTAAAGAAGTTGCAGATATGGTACCAGTGTCTTTTTTTTTTTTTTTTTAAATAATCATGCTTCAGAACAGTACCACACCTAAGCAAGAATGAATCAGTCAGGTGTTCTCAGGGGTCAAAATACGATGGCATACAAGACGAATGTAAGCATCCCCAGCAAGGCACTACATGAAGTACTTTGCATGAAAGCATCACCTCCCTCAGCTGTAAAACACTCACAAGCAGGAAACTGAAGAGAATTCTTCATCCTTCAATGGCATTATCATTGTTAGAGCATCATTCACCCACTTGTCCGCAAGCTGCCTTCTTCTCCCACCAACAGCTTCATCTTACAACAATGCCTCATTTCTGGCTCAGAAGACCAACAATAGGCTCTCCCCTGAGCTAATGGCAGCAGCATCTCCACCATCTCCTGGCAGGAGGCAGCATAACAATAATTTGACAGGCATCTTCCAAGGAGACTCTCAACATATCAGTCATGCTGCTGACACACTCCACACCCAGAGGAGCTCATCCAGACTATGGAAGATTTCTAGGTATGGGCAGCTGGTCCTGATTGACCACCCAAAAGATATCACGTTTTTCCATTTCACTAACAGCAGAACAAGAAAGTACCTATTTCCTGTGGTGGTCCTTGCGACATCGCAATGCTGGTTTGAGCGAAGTCTGTTTGAGTAAAGCAAAGCAGCAGGTAAGCAGTAGAGAGGACTAAAATCCTATTTCTAGTCCAAGAACAAATCTACTGACTGGTACCTGAAAGGAAGTAGAACTGCAAAACCAATTGTAAGTTACTTTTTATGATGTGCAAAGAGTCTGTCTTTCTAACAAAATAAAAATAATTACTCTTCAGATATTTTTAAAAGGAAATTGAAAAACCACAGTATTTTCAGAGGACGCACTGTTGCAGTTAGAGCCAAAAACAACCAACATTCGCTGTCCAGAATAACACACACACATTATCTTGATCTGACTGCTCCAGCCTAACGAACTAAAATTAATTAAGACCCTTGTATCTTTAAACAGAATCTGTCATTCTAATATGGCACCGAAGAAAGTAAGTTTGAGTCACTCCTTCCCTTCATATAGTGCCATGAGACAACGTCCATCAGTTTATCATCAATATACCAATTTTGCTTAAAGGGTGGTCAAGATTAATAATTTGAATGAAGGAAGAAAGACAAATCCTCTCTTTTTTTCCTATGTGAGAAAGACAAGGGTTTGCAAATCTCCATGTAACACCTGGGGGGTTTTTGCTTAAAGTTGCTGAATGAAAGTCCTAAACTCTGAACAGCCACTCAGTTTTGAAAGCTTGGCATGCTGGAACGCCCTGACTTATGTAGGCAGCAGGGAACTGGCTTTGATTGAGGTTTCTGCCATCTTGAAAGTATGTTCAAGGTTCCTGGTAGTTTAACTGCTCTTCAAGACAATATATCCCTTATGAGACAGGAAGGCTGAATAATCTTATACTTCAGACTAGCTCAATCTCTATAGTTCCAAGAATAACTTCCAGTGCAGGTGACAGCAAGCGTATGATAAGCAAAGTTCCAGGAGAAAGTCTGTTGAAAAAAACAGAATTATGGGAAACAGACTCAACTGCTAGTTTTATGGACATAGCTCCATTCCAGCACTCAGGCAGTAAAACTAAAATGAACTCCCTCAAAGTGAAAAATACCCAATAAAACTCAGTAGGCAAGGTAATTATTTTGACTCAACAGAGGGAGAAGACTGGTCACTCATTCCCACAGAGTAGCTTACCTTGCTGACATCTATCAGTTCATCTGTTTTTTCCAAAGCTATGTTGTCTGTGATATGGATTTATAGCACTGGCCAAGCCTATACCGGCCTGGGCCAAATAAAAACCTACAGACCGAAACAAATGGAAGCCACACGTCCTCCAGCAGCCTCTCCTGTGGTGTCACAGCTCCCCCAGGGGACCAGGCTGGTTGTCCCTTTCACCTCCCCAGGACTGACCTTCTGCCCACATCCTACTTATTAATAAGATCGCAGCTGTGAGATTTGCTGGATCAATACTTGTCCTAGGCGTACAGACACAGAGCGTCAGGATGGCACCCAAGGGATGAAGGCATCTTCTCTTTCTACCTCTCCCTTAGAAAAATGGAAGTGAACACCAGTCAGCAATTGAAGGTGTTAGCACTAATATTAGACAGTAAATCCATGACAGACATACACTTGAATGACTAAAACTTTATATTGCTTGGGTTATAAAGGTAACATTTGCAACATCAGCTGCTTTTGCCCTTTCTCCTACCCCTCCTGGTAAGGACCCACATACTGTCCATGGAAGTTAAGATCTTCCATAGGTACAATATAACACAGGCCTGTACAAAAGCAAAATTGATAACTCCAGCAGTAACATGAAGACCTTTATTGTCAAGCAGTATGACACCAAAATAAGTAAGCAAATGCCATAGTAACTAACAAAATACAGGAGAACGTCTTGTGAATTCACTGGATTTTAGTTTCTGACATCTTCAAAATAGAAATTTTTTGGTTTGGCTGACAGGAAACCACAAAGCGCAACAGTCCTGTAATCGGAGCAATCAGACACGTATGGGGACAATAACCATAGGCAAAATAAATTAGCTGTAAACGGATCTGTATTACTGTATTTCTAACGACCTCATTTTTTTTTTCCTTCATATTTGAGGGTTTGGGCTTGCTTTTTTTTTTTCCCCCCCTTATCCTAAAAGTCCCAAGATTTTTATGTCTCGGCACTCTAGGGACCAGTTTTCTAAATGTTCATTATCTGGGCTGGCAATAGTGGTTTATTCCACTCAGAAGACAAGCAATTATCTTAAAGTTTAATGTTACAGACAAATGACTTATATTCCACTCAGAAGACAAGCAATTATCTTAAACAAAGTTTAATGTTACAGACAAATGACTTACGTTTGTGGTAATTATTCAAGTTGGGGGAGCAAGTTTTTTCATGAAACAAATTATGAAATTGCTTGTTTGTTTAGTATTAGTCAAGCTTACTAATATTTTAGAGTTGTGAAAATGACATTGTTTTCTCCACCCTAACCAGTCAAACCATAAGATACAAAGCTTGAAGTTAACAGCACAAGTACAGCTCTGAAGAAAATTTAAAAGCCCCACGCCCCCTCCCAAAACAGTACAGTTACTTTAGAAAAGATAATAGTGTGAGATTAACTCGTTGCCTGTTGAATAGCATGCCCTCTAACCCATCCTCTTGAAGTTCTCAAACAGAACACATTAAAGTTCAAGGGTAAACAACAATAGAAGGAAAACAACAGAAATCAGCACACCTTTTAAGAGCAGGAGAACACAGAAAACACCCTTAAAGTGAGCTGTTCCAATTAAGCACCTTTCTTTCAAACAAATGTTGGAAGACTGCAGTAGTCCTTTACTAAAATACACCTTCTTGTGACTGCTAATGGGAATCAAAGGCTGATTTATAATCACTGTGCCTTTTGCCACTGAGATGGGAAAGGTACATTCAATGTACCTTCAAAAAGTCCTTCAAATTACATTCTGATGAAATATGTCAGGCTCAAGTGCATCATCCTCAACAGTGACCTTAGCTCAGTGATGTAATCAGCAAATAAAATTCTAGAGTTGCTAAGATGCCTCCAGTAATTGTCTTCTACATTCGTTACATCCAAGTACCTCCCTTCATAATGGAATTTGTGTCTGCTAAAAAAATGCTGAAACACAACTCAGTTCCACAAAGCACAGGCCAGCAGTATGTCATTTGGGAATCTGCACCCATATAAATAATTTTGTTCTCCCCAGGCAGACAAATCACAATACATGGGGAAAACAGCAGTTAAGTCACACCAGTTGAGAATCACCTGACATCATAAATTTATCACGCAATTCTACATTCACTTCGTCAATAGAAAAGCTACTAGGACTATTACATCCTGGTTAAGTGTAAGGTTATTCATGGCATGAAGATACAGGTAGTTATGCCAGGAACATTAACTTCAGATAACATTGATTGCATAGCCAAGGGATACACTGAAAACAACGTCGCGTATCTGCAACTTGGAATGCTTGAGGTGGTTTCCAGCTCTCACCCCTGATGCTCTTCCTCAGTGATGTGATGTTGTAGCCTAGGTTTATTAGGATTGTGTTCAATCAACCAGTCAGCAAGCCAAGTCTGTGGAACAAAAAAAACAAATATTTTCAGTTTTCTATTGTTTTCTACTAAGTGTATGGGAGAATATAAAAAACATTATTTGAAACCTCCAGTACAGGCACTCTCCTACTGTGCTGTGAAATGAAGACCTTTCAGAAAAAATGGACATATAAACAAGCTGGTTTTTTCAAAATGTTCTTTTAAATCTTCACAGCTTATGTTGCTTTTGAACAATTCACACTGACCTTTAGAGGACAACTTTTCCTGGCAACATCTGTCTTTGTGTACGTATAACAACATTTGAGCCACACTTCAAACAATCCCATCAGCTCTGTTTTGGAATAGGCTGTACAATACGTATGAAACTGCTTAATGAAATACTGCTCCTGACAACACTTGCAGATGCTTTATCTAGTAATCATTCATTAAAAGTGCCAGTCTTCTGCACTGAAATCACATTATAGTACCTAAAACTTAAAACCAAAATGTGGGGTTTTTTTGAAATTCACCTTGTAAGTCTTCCAGTACATTGTACTTCAATAAGAATGTGGGAGGTAGAAATACCTGGAGTTCTAACTTCATCTGCCGATGTCTTGGCCTGCCCTTAAGCAAATTAACCCTTTGCCTTGATTTCACTTGTAAAGAGACGTTTTTAACACATTCTTATTTACTTCACAAGGCTGTTGACAATTCGATTCTGGAATGCTAAGTACAACAAACTTCATACCATACTGTGAAGTGAAAGAACTGATAGAATAGTAGACCAGCAAGGTACGCAACACGGTCCTTTCATTACCAGGTACAAAAATATTGGTTTGCAAAGAAAGACACAACAAGTAGAGGACTATGACAATTCTCGCAGGTTAGTCTGCAATAGCAGAACAATAAGAACTCAAGACGGAAATGGAAAATAAGCAAACAAAAAAAAAAACCCCGAATCCCAAAACACAAAAGCCCAAAAGCCCTTAGAAAGACTACTTGGGGGGAAAAAAAATAAAAATGAATAATTTGAGCCTGATTAAATTGATCCTGTGTTACTTAGGGAATTGGCTGAGACCACCTCTGTGCTGCTAGTAAGTATTTTCTGAGTAGATAGATGCTATCTTCAAAAAGAAAGAAAGAAAAAATAATTTTTTTAAAAAAGAAGAGTCAAATCAGCCCAACTTCAGTTCTTCAGTTCCTGGAAGGATACTAGAAACAAAAAAATCATTCCATCAGTCTTGCTGTAAGTTACCTAACAAACTGAAAAGAAATAGCCAACAGATTTCTGAAAAAAAGTAGTATCAAATCAACATAACTTTCCTTCTGTTACAGGGTCTCAGACATTACAGACAGGCAAGAAGGAATAAATATCATGTTTCCATCTTAGTAAAGCTATTGACATTGCTCCATATCGCTTTCTTACAGGCAAGGAAGGAAAGCACAGTCTTTATGAAGCTACTGTTAGTTACCACACGATTGGCTAGAAAATTGTGCTCAGAATGCAGAGATTAATTGGAAGCAAATCCAAATAATTAGTTAGAGAAATGTGACTTCTAAGCTAAGAGGAAAAACATCAGTTTTTAATATAGTGAAGAGATGACTGAAGGAGAAAGAAAAAAGGTGATGCTCTTCAAACATGCAATAGGCTGCTGCAAAAAAAGGACATACTACTTTGTCTCCAATGTCCTCTAGGCATAGTAAAAGGAAAAAAAAAAAAAAAAGTAATGGGTTTAAAATTGGAGCAAGGGAGATTTAGGCTAAGTTTCATTGAAAGCTTTTTAAGTAAGTATATTTAAACACTGAAACAGATTGCCTAGGGAGACTGTAGATTCTCCATCATTTGGAGTGCTAAAGAACAGAGCGGGCAAACATTTGTTAGGAATGGTTAGATGCAATTGGTCTGGCCTTTGGGCAAAGGCATGGATGAAAAGACTTCTTCATCTCTGTTTTCTCTATTTCTATGGCAACAGTGCCAGACATACAGATAAAGTGAACAGGTTATAAAGCTGGAACAAAGTACATTTAATCTGACCTCATGTATACCACATAGTTCATAGAAACACCCCTGAATTATTTTTCAGGTTTTTTTTCCCTGAAAGGCATCTTTTAGAAAAATGCAATGTTGATTGAAAACCTGATAATGATGTAAAAGCCACCACAACTGCCAGTAAGTTGTCACAGTGATTAATTATCTGCATTCTTAAAGAAGTATTAGTGTGAACGACTTGAACTTTACACACACAAAAAACATTTACCATATTTTTTCTAGATGAAAGCAAGCTACTTTTGTTTAGGGACTGAAAAAAAAAACACACCAACAAAAAAATACAGGAAATTAACTCTAGTCTTTCCATGAAGAACTGTAATTTGAACGACATCCGTGATTAAAAAGAATAATATGTGAGAAGAGAGCAAGATGCATCAGCTTGATAACTAGAAAGGGGTAATAAGATAGAAGAATTTTCTGTAGGTCTGTTTCACTATTAAGATAGGTTTCCACTCAGAAGAATCACAATTCATTTTCCTGGTGAACTGTGGAGCAACCCAAAGAAGCACTAATCAATGCTGTATAGCCAAAATAATAGCTTATCCTAAAGAAGGATTGATAATATTAATTTAAATAAACATATCAATGGCAGAACATTAAACATAACAGAATAAAGACAGCCTTGCTAATAACTCTACCATATTTTACTGAACTGCATAACTACTACCAGTGTGAGCAGCATCTAGTCTCACTTAGTATCTATTGTACGAGAGCTATTTAATCTCAAACTCACCTCAGAAACAGTAAATAAAGTAAAAACTTACATTTGACATCATATGGTAGTATTCATTTACCTTCCCAGCCATCTGTACCAACTACATGTTAGAAAGAGTTTTAGAGAAGTCACTGTCGTTCCATCAAGGCTGATTGCATTTAGTCCTGGCCCTCACTTCATCTGGTAACAAACCAATCAGCTTCTTGAAAGGCAAACTTTATTTAATTAGCTCGTTAGCAGGCAGCCACAACAGTACAGCTCTTTCAAAAAAAAGAGCAGCTTTGCTATATCCAGGGACTTTGCTAACAGGAACTGAAGGTATCACAAAGCACACAACACATTACTGACGTCCTGTACGTACCATCGGGTCTGCTGGCTTCTCTTTACACAGCGCGGTGAGCCCAGCCAGTAGCGTAGGCTTCACATAAAGGTTCAAGTAATCCCGAGCTCTTTGTCCAGTCGGAATTGGCTCGGAGATCACTGGAAAGAGCAACCACAGGTGTTGGAAAGCAGCTTGTAGAGTGACTAATAAAGAGCATAGACTGATTCTTTCCAAGGTTGTTTATATACGAGCTGCTGTTTTCCTTAATAAGTTAATATTACATAATGTTTTTTATAGCTTTTCCCACAACAAACTGCAAAGAAACTGCCTGAACTCGTTCACAATGTCCCTGAGGTCATCTTACTAATTATAGACAATTATGAAAAGGGAGGAAATTGGATCATCTGGGGAAAACCTATGTCCTTGAAGATGCATTGGGGGTATGAGAGAAATAATACAACCCATGCTTAGTACTTCCTTCTTGCAGTGTGACACTGGTTTCTGAAGACCCTAAAAATCTCACCAGCTTTGTCATTAGGGTGAGGAGAAGAGACATGGTTTAAAAGTCGTGAGGTTTGAAGGGAAGTGCAGCATCTTTTAAACTAACTGATGCAGTTGACAAAAACAGACAAGTTTTGGGGTTTTTTTGTCTTTATGTCAAAGATCAAAGTCATCTTTCAACTGTTACATCACAAACAAGAGATCCTCTCCCAGCCTTTCCAGGTTCTATGGCCCATTTCTCTGGCACTTAACTTTGGAATTCAGCTATCACGTCAGCATCCAGCTACAGTTGAACAGGAATTACTCAGCCTGAGCCCAAGAAGTCAGTCTTCTCAAGCCAGTAAGAGCCCTCAGGGCTGACAGTGCCAGAAAAAACATGCTGGAGTGTCATAGCTTCCCATTTCCTCTCATTTACCAGCTTTGTCTGCTCCAATTCCCAGACCACAGAGCTGAAAAGTAGCAGCAATCCCTACAACTATAATGACTCTTCAGATAGATTTTGGTATGCCTTTCATAGCAGAAAATACCAGCTTATACATAAAGAGACTCATATTCTCATAAAGCAAACAAACCCAACCTCTGCTAAATCCAATTGTATCTAGAACCCGGACAGAGACAAGTAAAAACAGGAAAGGACATTATGCTCCCAAAGACTGGCAATGTATTATTTGCACCATTTTACCTTCTGGAAACATGAACCGAATTTCTCTTTCTGCTGAGGAAATGCTGAGACTGCCATGAAGTGCGTTCCTCAGATCATCAGTCCCATAGATTGCTCTTAAGCTAAAAAAGAAGAGAAATAACTGCTTGGTAGGCAACTGCAAATCCTCTCCAGATCTCTACAGTCTGAGAGCATATAAAAGATAGATAGATATAGATATAGATATAGATATAGATATAGATATAGATATAGATATAGATATAGATATAGATATAACAAGGCATTGGCTTGATTTTGTTTTTAAACAAAATAAGTAGCTATCTAAAATTTATGTTCATGCACTTAGCATTCTCCATAAAACGGGTGAACTTTACATACTAAAAACCAAAGGTGAAAAGCTATGTTGTACAAAACTGAAGAGATATCAGGCCACTCCAAATCTGTATAAGAGAAAAAGAGGGGAAAAAAGAGAAAAAGAGGAAAGAGAGAGGGAGAAGGGAGAGAGGGAGAAGGGAGAGAGGGAGAAGGGAGAGAGGGAGAAGGGAGAGAGGAAAGAGAGAGTGAAAAGAGAATTTCTGATCTCAATTAAGAGAAAGACAAAACCCTACTGAGTTCACCAAGGCCAATCACAGAGTTACCTGTGAGGGTGAGTTCTCCTGGCTCTTATGCTGTTTGATGGTCCAAGCAATTCCTTCCAGTATGAGACTGCACAATGTCTGGCAAGAACCATAGCAACTAAAGGTCCAGAACTCATATAGGCCGTTAAATTAGGAAAAAACACTTTTCCATATTGGTCTGCATAAAAGTTGCTACATTGCTCTGGGCTTAATTGGAGTTTCCGTTTCTATAATGTGTAAAAAAAAAAAAAAAAGAATAAAAAGTTTGGTAAATTAAGATAGCTTGCTACCTCAGACAGGATACACTCCTCCGGTGCAAACATATCTTGAAGTGCCAGGGAACAGACACAGAGTAACTTCCCAGGCTAATCTGATTCTCCCAAATCTGATCCTCTTCGAGATACAGAGTAACAACGAACAAGAGTTTTCCAAGTTAATCAAGCGGGCAAACAGGCTGCTGGAGGAAGATGCGATTTTAGCTTACACAAACCACAGCATTTTAAAACTGCTGGATGACTTAAAGTGCAGTCAGGGCACAGTACGGGAAAAGTGAAGAGCATTACAAGGGCAGGATTTAATTACTCAGCTACTCCAGCATAATGTTCTATTGTTAAACAAGTTCTCTTCATGCCACACCGTTAATTATGCACCTGTGCCACTTTTCATTGCTATTTTATTTTTTAAAATATTTTACATTTTTATATTTTATTTTATTTTTATTTATTTATATTTTATATTTCATTG